TTCTTTGGTTTCGCTTTTCTTAGGCCCTAATCCAAGGAGCCAGACTTCTTTAGGACAGCTGAAATTCTGGATACTATCTTTTTGTTCTTGATATATTTATTAGGAGACTTTTGGGGATCTAAGTTTGGGTTTTGGCAGGACATGAGCAGTAGCAAAAAGAAAAGAAAAGGGAACCCTTTCCCCTAGATTAGTTGAGTTTCTGTATCCTATTGCTTTCATCATGTGTGTGTGTGTGTAATATGTACATATATATGTGTATATATGGTCTTTTAAGAAGTCCCTCCATTCATCTCTTCTCCCTCCAAAAAAAAATACTAGAAGTAGTAATTTAATTAAATCTAGTTCTGGTATTTTGGTATAGTCAGCTGAACTATATTATCTTTTCTGGGTCTGATGAAGGATGTTTAAAAAAAAAAGTACCAGTTCCAAAATCCAGAAAAATTCTTCCCACCAATTCCACTCTCTCCCTCTCATATACCCTCTCACACAGACTCCTGAGTATTGCGATTATAGTGGTGTTGTTTGGATCACTCCTAGGATAGAAGTTTCCCAGGTCACAAGATCCTCATTAGTGTGCACAAAGGCCAATACAGCACATCTACTTGGTGGAATTCACCAAAAAGATACAGTCACTGGCTGAAGGAATATTTATGTAGTAATTTGGGGAAAATTTACTCTTTTAGGTTGTGTTTTTTAACCTGTAGGAAGTCCTGATTTCCATTTTGCCTCATATGAAGGATTTACATTTTTGATCACTTAGACTCACCTCTCATTGTGTGTGCCCAGGGGCTTAAGGATAATGGGAATAGCTTAATAAGTCAGATAAATAAGAATGAGTAATAATAAAGATTCTTCTTTAACTCTTCCTATTAACTTTTTGATATTTGATCCATAAGACTGTTCAGTTAGACCTGTTCCATGGTATATGAGTAAAAATGTATTCTATAACTATGATCTTAGTTTCTTCAAAATTCCTCCACTTTCTCCAATAGATGATCCATGTTCATGCTTCAATGGATGAACATGTATTCATAGAATTAAAATATTAATAGTAATTTATATGTCACATTGTAGTCTCAATCTGAAAATATTTGTCATTCTGGAAGAAATGTTTTTAAACATCCAGATCTAAATTGCTGTAGGCTCAAGTACACTCATATATTAAAATGAGAGACTATTTAAATTAAAATACATGTTTACTTATTACTCCATATTCTAATTGCCATTTCAGAAAACTGTCTCCAGAATGTACTGTAATACCCTTAAGCTGCTGAGATAGCCCTTATAAAAAGGGGGAGGGGTTTTGGTTCATTTTTTTTCTCTGGGACCACTTATTTACTCTTCAACCTACATTAGAAGGGCAGATACCTATCTCTAGCATCAAGACACAGTATCAGAACTCTCCATAAACATGGTTCTGTTTGTTCTCATGCAGTCCTTTGTATAAACATATTTGATGGGAAAGGAAAGGAATGTCAGATTCGTAAGTGGGTTGAGACATTACTTACATATGAGCCTTCCCAAATAGTCCTGATGGTTGTGCATTGGACAGTTTTAAAGTGCTGGGAATATTTCCCCCCTTCCTTTTTTTTAAGGCAGCAGCAGAATTTAAGAGTTCTTCCATAGTTGTATCTCTCTCTCTCTCTCTCCCTCTCTCTCTCTCCCTCTCTCTCTCTC